TTTTCTCCTCCAGATTGTTCATCCAGCCTATCTTATTTAGACAGACCTACGGAGATAATAACATGCACAAAACCAAGCAACAATATACAACAAAACACCACCAACAATAAACCAATGACAGAAAAAACCACAACAAGAAAGAAAAGCTTGTCATTAGTTCAAGGACTGGTTGTTGGCCTTTACGAGTGTTTTTCCAGTCTAGTCTGTGGGGGCACCAAGCCCTGCCCCAAAGTCCACCTTTGGCATGCCCTGGGGACCTCGCCGCTTCTCTCTCCTGCTGTTCTGTTGCACCCCTTTAATGTTTTACCTCGGGGTGGTGGGATCTTATCGGGCTCAATTCCCACACTGTGTCTCCAGTGTTGTCCCCTGTAGGGCTATGGGTCAGTGAGGGACGCCATGTCTCATAGTGGGGCCTGCCATGTGGTCTGCTCTGTGGACTGGTTGCTCTGAGCGGGAACATCGTCCTCAAGGCCTAGTGGGCCAGGATGTGCTCCACTCTCTCCTCCTCCCCTTTCATCTCCTGTGTGCTCCGATCAGATATGTCCCTCTCCCATAGGTGCAGGTTCATTGCCGTCCTCTGAAATAAATTCTTCTGGGTGGTTTTAATTCTTGATTTATGAATTTTTGAATCAGAGTTTGTTTAGTGTGCTCAGAAAAGGTATTTTTTGCTTTGCTTCATTTTCTAACCACTTTTTAGGATCAAAGGCTACACATATCTGAATTAACTATTTCTTAACTCTAAAACGAAAAATAAAAAAGCGAACTTAGAATCAGTAATCTAGGTGTTAGAAGTACAGACAACCTTACCCATTTTCATAATTAAATTATTCAAAAACGCTGCATTTATCACTACAATTGCTTAAACTCGTTTGGTAGTTCTACTGGCACACTTAATCAGGAGGCTGTTGGAGCCAACATCATTCTCACAACTGATGTGCTGTAAACCAAAACTGCTTAAAATTATTTCTGTTTTCACAGCCATGTTCTTTTTTTAATTCAAAACTGAAGACTTAATTTAGTGAGCCTCAGTCTATTAAGATATAATTGAAAGATATTGGCGATGACCTAAACCCCATGGAACGTTCACGTATTGGGTGTTTTGAATTTGATCTAACACAGTCACCTCTTTGATGAGTTACTGAGAAAAATAAAATCTAGCATGGATTATTTTTCTGAATATCCTTAAATGATAAATTATGAGATGCACATTGGTATCTATTCATAAGGTTTAGGAAATCATGGTGACGTGTAGTGAATGCTCTCAGAGTCCTGCTCACTTGGGAGTGGAGCTCAAGAAGACACAGCTGACTGAGTTTATGTTTCCTTAGTGGAGCAGGTAAGAAAAATATAAGCTAACAATACGTTTATTACAAGATTGGTCACTAGTAGTAGCTTTTGCCTCCCTTTTTAATTTTTTCTTAAAATATGGAACGCTTCGTGAATTTGTGTGTCAGCCTTGTGCACGGGCTGTGCTTGTCTTCTCTGTATCCTTCCAATTTTAGTACCGGTGCTGCCGATGTGCGCTCTGCCTCACTTCTTCTTCAGAGTAATGACAATCAAGATTGTACCTGCAGGGGATCTGTTGTCACTCCAGGCTGTCAATTCTGTAAAGTGACTTTAAATAGAATATTAATAAACATGAAATCCTCTATTAGAGTGGAAATATAATCTTAGATATCTTTTTCATGCTTAGATTTGGAATATCTCATTGTCCAGCCAAAATTAAAATTAGGAATATATTTCTAAGGCTGATTTCTTCCCCTTTTTTGGCTGATTTCTTCTTGACACATGGCTCGCAAGCATAATTCTGAAGCATTTTTTCCTCATGTCATCAGCTTTGGGTCATCATAACTAAATTTAGGAATTTCTAGTGAAAACAGCGTGAAAAGCTTTATGATGCTTATTATATTAATATTACATGCTTTCTAGTATTTTCATTATTGTTATCTTACTGGAAGTAGATTTACATAGTT